AAGAGGGATAAGGTGGTTGGGATACAAGAGGAAAACTGAACGGAAGGGATACAGGAAAAGCTCGAGCAACCCATGGATGCTGCTACTGGTGCTACTTCTACTACTGCTACTAGATGCCAACATGGCTAGGCACCACCATCAAAAGTAAATGTATGATGTCGCGTGATGACGCCAATCTGATAAAAACCAAACAAACCCTGAACTAGCTTTGTATGGAGTTGTGCTGCTGATGATTAGTCATTAGACATTAGACACAGCCTGTTCTCACTGCTGCCCTCAGGAAAGAGGTACAGATCCATCCAGAGCCGCACATCCAGGCTCACCGACACGTTCTATCCAAGTGCAATGCAGGTACTGAACGCACATTAGTTTCTATATCCTGAACAGGGATATATATATTTATCACATTATATCCTATTTAAACAGTGCAATATATTTATTCTACCGTTTGGTTGTTGTCATGCTCATTCCTAGCTGTATGTACCTTCCTACTGGCTCCTTTAGTAAATATATTTACATTTTTTTTTTTTTTGATTCATACTTGTATTTTGCACCACTAGAGTTGTCTTTTAGTTTCGTTCTATTCTATTCTATTCTATTCTATTCTATTCTATTCTATTCTATTCTATTCTATTCTATGATTGCCTCGTAAAACTGTTGCATATAAACAACCTCAGTGCAATCTTTATCTGGAAAATCCCTGCTAATATTAGCTAATCAATAGTAGTCAGATATTTTCTGGTGCTTTCCTCTTTTGTGGATCTTTAGTCAGTGTCGCTACGTTCTGCAATTTGATATTTACCTGGAAGGAAGTTGGCAATTTTGCAAATTTCAGTAATTGCAATTAAACGATGGAGACACTGAGATCTGACATCCTGTCTTTGTCTAGATAATTTAATTATTCACTTGTGTTTTGCTGAAGAATTTTTACGGCGGGCCGTAATCTGGAGAATACAAAAATTGAGCCTTAAAAATATTTGCCCCTGTTCTGTTGCACTTCCTTTTCTCTGTTCTGTTAAGCTGTGGATCCCCGACTTAATATGATTTGGGCTCAATTGTGAATCGTTCATGTTCTCAGTCGCCTGCGCGGCCGTCCTGCAGTCACACCATTGTCAGGAGTTGTAGACGGGAGCGGGGCTTGGAGGGACATGGAATTGCCTTGTGATTTGGCCGCTGTGTGGCCGACCAGATGGGCTCCTTCCTTTCTCAGTCACTTTCCATGAAGCAGGCAATCAGTCAGGTTCTTCGGACGCGGCTGACACTCGCGTGGTTTTCCCACAGATTGGTCTGAGCCTCGGCGGCGGCTCTTCTGGAAGCAACGAGGTCTGGTGACTTTGATCTCCGTCACGGAAACAGTCTCAGTCTTCTTGAACATCATTATTTCAGGACGACTTTTCGACGGACCGACTGAATCTCTGGTGTTCATTTGCCGTCACTGTTTTCTGTGTTTCAACAGGACGCTAATTTGTGAACTGATTAACATGTATTACTCATATTTACAAAACCCATTCAAACAGCACTGTGTGATTCCAGCATGGCTAACAGTCTGATAAAGAAAAATAGTTTTCTTCTAAACCCGCTGGCCTAAAGGTTCGCTGTCTGCTGTCCTTTCTCTCTTATCTCCTCTCTGTTAATTGGTCATTAGGAGGGAAAATGTGGTTTTAATCGTCTGCTGGTCCAGACAGTCTGAAGTTCATTAGAGCTAATGTCTAAACTTCAGAGAGGCACAAAGTGGCTGATGTTGCCCGTCCAGACACAAACATCAACACTTGGCCAATTATTAATACATCTCATAAGAGCCTTTAGTGTTTGTTTGCTTTTGCATAAACACATGTGTGGTTGAGGCGTACATGACAACATGATAAATTTGTGCGCTGTAATTGGGCTGCCTCCGTGTTATTGCATATTTATGCTGCTGTACTCGCAGCAACGTTTGCCCTCAGAAGACAAAACGTAATGTTGAACAAACCACAGTGGGACAAACAGTAAACCATGAATAATAACGACGTAGGGCACTCAAAGAGTAGCTTGGGATTTAAAGAATACCAAAAAAGAGCACAGTCATGCAAAATGCCCGGTAAAGGTCAGAATCCTCATCGGAGAGGAAACCGATCTGAACATAAACGTTTTATTGCTGTGGGTCTTTATTAATTATGGAATGTAATTGAACAGATGACGGTAACAGAATTACAAAAAAATAAAAATAAAAATCACACACAAATAATGACAAATGCTTTGCTAGCTGTAGAAACTGTTCAGGTCATATGTTTCTATACTCTTTACTAAAAAGTCTTACAGAATGTGTGCTTTTTAGGCATTCTAGACTAAAATAAAAAACATCTCTACAACTTCTGGAGCAGAGGTGCCCAATCCTGGTCCTGCATGTTTTAGATGTGTCCCTCTTCCAACACACCTGATTCACATGATCAGCTCATCATCAAGCTCTGTAGAAGCCTGATAACGATCCTGATCATTTGAATCAGGTGTGTTGGAAGAAGGAAACATCTAAAACATGCTGGATAGGGGCTCTCAAGGACTATGGTTTTGGGCACCCCTGTTCTGGAGGAACTGCTGTAGCATTCATGGTCCACAGAGGATGGATTTGGTGAGGAGGCTGTTGTGTTTGCTGTTTAATGAAACATCTTATTTGGATGC